AGGAGGAAAAGGAGGGACTCTTACACTTCTTCCCCTGTAAGAGATTTGCTGTTTGGAGACCTCACCCTGCCCTGACATTTTTAAAGATACTAGCTTGTTAAAATGCTGCACTGCAATGTTGTAATTTACACAGAGACACTTGGGATAGACAGTGAAGCAATCGGGAAATCAAGAGAAATTATTAAGTCATTATTAAGTCAATTTTGCCTCTGGACCTCATACTTTTAAAATCTGGGCACTGAAAATCCTGTCACGTTTACGATTTAATTCAGGTAAATTTATATACATAACAGCTTAGTAGACATTCTGCTTCTCATAATCCCAAATCTACACCATCAGACCTTTTAACCAGCTTGGAAGGTTCTGCAAAAAGTTAAAACCATGTAAACAGACTTAATATAAGGCCTAAATTAAATTACAGTAGATGTCAGAAAACGTTAAGGTATCAAATTAGCCAGTTTCCCAGTCCTACATAGCAATGGAGCCCTCTAAGGGTTACAAAGCAAACTCATTGCTTTCTGGCTACGATATAAGACTTCCAATTATGTATTTAATTGAAACAATTATGCATATTATCTTTTTTTGATAAGTTATTACAGTTCTAGTGCATCACACTTAACTGGGTTACATTTAAATGAGATGATCATTCTATAAGGGTACCTTCTACAATAACTATCCAAGTTAATGATACTGAATGATGAGTAACACCAATTAGTATTAATGAGTTTAGCTAATAGGTATATATACAACAAAACCAGAAGGCTTTTTTAGTGTTTAGCTGAGTATAATATTCTGACTGGTAGTATTTTAACTCATAATTTGCTAGGTAAAACAAAGAAATTCATGTATGAAGCCTCAGCTAGATTTTTAAGAGGGTAGTTTGTCTTTCTCCATCTTTCAAATACAAGGAGTTTTGGTGGCATTTTTGAGCTACTGCAGTCTGGAATTTGTCAATATTGATATGTATTAACCTGCACAAGAATTAAATAAGTAGTTGAAAAAATGTGATATTTTATTTTCTGTAATTTTGGCTTACTTGACATTTATTTTGTATTTCTTGATCATGATACAACCATGACAACTTGTCTCTAAGGGTATTTACCTTACTATTCACTTCACAAATATATTGATATGACTGCAGTTCATACTACAAAAAAAATCTGAAAGATTCCAATGTATTTCACTCCACTAGAAGTGTCAAAAAGCTTAGTTTCCTGGATTCTGCTAGAAAATGCTTTGCCAAGGGTGGAAGACTTCCATGTAATTTCTTCAATACATCAGCTTCCTGATTTTGTGATGCTTTTCCTTGAGTACAAACCTTACAAATCACACTTTCTGCAGGATGCATATAGGAAGCTGATTACTCTTGCTAATCCCTAAATCAAGGTGAAGAGTATGGTATCAGAGGCATGCCTCTCATTGTTATGGGCCTAAAATGATTCACATCTTGTAGTTCCTACAGTATGTTACTTCAAGATACATTAATAATGGGCTGTTGGGTATATTATTACTGCAGACTGCAAAGGAATAGCAGTTGCTTTGTGCATTTATCCTAATTCCACGGCATCATTACTTACATAACTTGAAGAATTTCTAAAAGCTTGTTTCTACCTTATTAAACCACTTCCAAGTGTATTGCTCCTTAAGATCAAAGTGTATCAGTCTTAGTTACATAAAAAACTTCAGGTTATGCTCCCTAGTTAAAACTACCTAGGTGTACTTATAACACAATCCTAAAACACAAGGATAAGTATGATTTCAGTGAAGGTTCCTAGCCTAGATCCCTTTTTGTTCAGTTGAACTTCGTTCTGCCTCCCCTTGGGTTACTGTGCAAACTCTTTCTCCCACATTTTTGCGTGATCAAAAGGGAGGAAAGGTATACAAGATTGTATTTCTTTGATTCATGGCTGGATTACCAAGTGTGTTGTAAATGACACTTGGAACTTGTCCATTTTAAGAACTGTGCCTTGTTTCAATCAGTTCTGCTGAATGCCTTGCTAATTGTTCTAACATTTTTGGATGAAAGAGGCAACACATTTGATCCTGACATTGGTTTCAACTTGTTCCATGTCCGGACAGTGCCAAAGAAAACAGGACTACGATTTCAGAGGGACCACTTAAAGTCAGTGTTTGTGGTAGTGTAACATATTACCAGTTACATCTATTTTTCAGGCTCCGTTATATCCGTAAAACTGTATGAAAAAGGTTCCTGCAGTTCACATGTATATGAAATAAACAAAATTATAGGAAATGTGAGGCCTTCCTTTTGAGTCCTCTGAGATGCTTCCTATTGCAGCAAACCAGCAGTATAACTATGACCACAAATTGGAGGACCTGGTCAGAACAGCATTACAAAACAGAGGTCCATAAAGCATCAGTTTTGAGTTATGAGGCTGGCATTCCATAAGCATGCTGGGTTACAACTGCCTAATTTTTTTCAGAGTTGTTTTGTGTATGTGTATGCATGTAAATCACAGAAAGGGGGAAATAAGGTCAATTCTGACCAGAAGTCTGTATTCTCAAAGAGGTGGTGCAGAGCTCAGATGAATTTCAAGGAGAAATAACAGGCTCAAAACCTGGAACACAAAGGGGAACATCAAGGAGAGAAGTCTGCACCTATAACTTCTCAAATTAAGTCATAAAGCCTCTGAACATTGGCAAGTACCCTCTTCCAGACTGTGAAGAAAGTCTGATGTTACTTCTGACACTGCGAACCTCAACCATGACTGTAACTGCTAGCTACTTCATATACTAAGGACAGACTTGGTAACATTGCATTATGCAAAGGTAAATCACAAAGAAAGAGAAGACATGCATAAGCTCTGTCAGTTCATGAATCAGACTGCTTCAGTGAGCTTCCCTGCCTATTGTTCACACAATAATGTAAATGTTTTTTGTTGCTACATTTCTTTTTAATTGGTTGAAGACAGGATCCTCCATATTAAATGTAGGCATATGCAAAAGGGATACTTATTTATGCTGCATTAGAAAGCTCTAAACCACAACATATTCCCACAGTCCTAACTCTAGAAGTGTATGTGCACACCGTCACTGCTACATGAAGTACTTTTTAATTTAAAAAGCAAGAGTGTCAATAAACATTTGAAAGTAACTGGAGATGTACTACGGAGCTCAGCAGTTGATGCTTTCAGAGGCTACAGTCCAAGCCTTCCTGGTCATTCTGAAATGCTGCAAAGTATCTCTGAAGCTACAGTGAAAAGCTCTAGGGAGCAGGAATAAAAGGAAAACTTTGAGTCAGCTTTTGTATGTGACATAGTGACATCCAGTGGCGAGTTTGGTTAACTGTACATTCTCATCCCCTGACACACAGAAAATCATCAATACTTGTATCCTATTAAAACATGTTACAGTATTTTAAGAATATTTAAAAATATTAAAAAATTATAAAGACAATTTGTGATTTTTCCTAAACAGAGAAATATAACTTACTAATTATAAAAATGGTGTTCATCTATAATGAAAAATTAATTTTTCAGTCAAGCTTACAATAAAAGCAGAAATGTTTAGTTGTATTAAAGAAACAGAACATTCTCTACATTACAGCTGCATTCTTTTCTATCTTGTTCACACAAAGAATCACTACTCCATTGCCAGTTCCTATAGAAAACAGAGATCAAGATCTGAGCTTATGATTCTCTAAAAGTAATTCTCCATAGACACTTCCTCCATTTATGATTCCCAGCCACAGCAGATCACCAGCTAGCATAACTTTTCTACAGTAAATCCCTTCTTTAAAGAATCAGCTGATGAAAGGTAGTAAAACTGTTCTTCAAAGTTCTTTTAGAATACACACAAGGATGCAGGAGACTTCAAGACCTTCTGTGCCCTTGGGAGATAATTGTTCTTTTATGGGAGATAGGGATATCCAAAATATGTATCTACTAAGCTAGCAAATATTCCTGAAGATTAGACATTCAAATTCCTTTAATTAGATCTGTTCCATTTTGTCTAGAATGATGAGATTCATAGGATTAAAAAGAGGTGGATGTAGAAAAATAGAGAATTCCAGGTTCTCATTCTTGGAAACTAGTATCAAACTTTTTCACAGCAATCAAACCCAACTTCAAACTGTTGTGGAAAGACACGTAAAGGAAGGCTGAAGATTTGAGACACTGCCTGTGAGATACACAGAACCAGGTGCAAATAACTTCTCTCTCATCTGAGTTCCCAAAGGATCCAACTGAGCAGCTACCACCGCTTCTGTATGCATGTTCCAAACTGCATAAACAGGCACTTTTTGCAAACAAGTTAAATTAAGGTCTCCCAATTAAAAGCAAAGGAATTTCACTAGTCTTAAACATTTGGTTCCCACTCACTTGTACATAAAAAAAATATTATTAAAATAATGAAACGTAAGATAAGTGAAAAACAAAAAAAGAGAGATAGTTTTGAATTACTTACACAAAATTTTACCAAACTGGGATTTTTTATGAGAAAAATCCAATTTAAAATTATTCAAATTAACTCAAGTTTATGATAGAGGAGGTAATTTTATTTACAAAATGCCACTGGTGCACACTAAACACAGGAACTATGAAACTTGATTTATAAAGAAGTTAAATGCTTCATAGAAGCATGTATTCCTGAGGTACTCTGAATACAATCCTTAATTTACTGGAATTCACAACACTGCTCCAACTGGCTTAAGCAGCAGAAGACTGGATACTTGATAATCACACAATTAAGACATGGTTAAAAAATACATAGGCAAATGGAAACAGACTGGAAGATTGTTTCTCACTGATACTAGCAGTAAAACTATGTGATTTTCCACTAAATGGTGGAAAACTATCTTACAACCTGTTAAGATGGGGCTTCTCAGCTTCATAGCCAATTTAAATGTATCTCATTGACCATGGTCACAGGTTGCAAAGTCCTCTTCACATCAGACACAAAAGCATAGCTGTTTCTGCATAACGACATGACTGATTACCTGGATGAGTATTATTACAATTTAAAAAAAATAGTGCTAGGTGCTTTCACTTAATTTTCTCTTTTTTTGCTTTCATTCTCTGCTGTAGTGTCTTCAGTTCAGTCATTACATTCAAAGTTTTATAAACCCAGGTGACCTGAAAAGTAAGTAAATAAAATTGAACTTATCTATATACACTTTATTAATTTAATGAAAGAAGCAGACACATAAATGAACATATACATACCACAATTATAACAGTATTCACTAGCAGTGGTGCTGAAAATACTAGTGAAATAAACATCCCTCTTGAATCAAAGTATTGGTATTTAGAAAACAGCCTGAAAGAAATAAAGAAAAATAAGAGGAGTCTTTCTTCAGTGTTGTTCACATAATACCAGACTTTCATGGTAACTATTAAACATGGACATTGTACAGATTATCCAGCTTCTTGAGATCCACAAGCATAGGTCAACATTCTACTGTCTAAGTCACAACAAAGACACAGTCAGTGTCTCATTAGTTATTAATATTTATTAAAATACCAGTTTTATTTTAAGGTTTCACTGCTGAAAACCTAATAAAATCAGCCACAGATAAAGTAACTTCCTAGTGTGACTACATTAGTTCACGTATTTGTGCATCAGATATGCTCAAGTGTCTGAAATGACTTTTTTTAATACTTTGGTTACTTACATTGTTTCTGTTTTATTTTCTAATGAACAGCAAAGCTGTAACTTAGGCCATGTATGCCCAAACTGGAACATAAATACTTACAACTAGATGCTTGCATAAAGCACTGTTATTCACATAATTTCTAGTTACATCATGGAAAGGTTAGTTCAGTGGTTACGAAAATAAGCTCTCCGTTTAATTCTGGTATACAAGCCTAGTAAACCAGGCTAATTTTAAGGGGTTTTTATGCATATAAGTACATAAAATAGAAGTGTTATTTTTGAGAAGTGGTACTTATCAGCTGATCAAACATTAATAGCTTACTGAAGAAAACCCAACTAAAAAAACCACACCACACTGAAGCTCACACCCTCTTAATCATTCCACTCTGCTTTTCTCTTAGTTCTCTGAATAGTTAATAGCAACCATCCATATAAACATTTATTTTAAGCAGCAAAATCAACACATGCCAGCTATTAGAAATTACTTTTTCCTATAAGATAAGTGATAACTATGTTGAACTGTATGGTTTTGTTCAAAAGTCTTGTATCAATCAATGAGACAGATCCTCTGCCATCACGTTCTACTGATGAGGCACAAGTGACACTGTTTAAATTAATGTTTTCTGGAAATGATACAAAATAAAAAACCTTTCAGAAGAACATTCATTTATATGCAAAAACAAAAGTGAAAACAATTACCTCCAATTCATGGCTGCTAATTCATTTATATATTCAGCGCAGTACACTAAGCCCACTGTACAAAGAAAAAGATTAGATTCAATTTTTTTAAGTAAACTGCCATCAGTTCTGTCCTGTATACTAAAGATGTATACATAGTAGACATTAGAATTCCTTGATCAAACTAGATTTTGTACTATTAAATATTAAATGTCAATACTGAATTAAATGTCCCAAATAGTTACCAAGATGTATTAGGTGATCACAAAAAATACCCACTATATTACAAACAAAACCCTGCTCATCTGAGGTTATAGGAAAAGCTCAGCAAACTGATGAATAAAAAATAAAAATAATAAAAAACCAGTATTTTTTTCCAATAGTCTTCTTGGTGATAGTTTCTAGGTTGTCTGTAAAAAGAAATGCCAGTTCTCTCCCAAGGTGATATGTAATTAAGTTATCATTTTATAGGTTCTGGTGTCACACTGCTGTACCTAACATTGCTAATCAAAGTTGGGGTACTAATTGCATGTAACCAGTCTGGTAAAATACAAACTTCAAATGGGTGTATAGTAGCCTGCTGCAATCAGGTGAAAACTTGCATGTTCTTGATCAATAATTACATGAAATATGAACCCATCAAGACAGTAAGAAACTGAGTGCAATCACATTTTTAACAGAAAAACAATAAAATTACAAAATTCAAAGTTTGTCCTTGTTCTATTTTTCACAAGAAGTGAAGCAAAAAAAATGATTCAGTGACTAAAGATGATGTGCTCAATGCAATTAACTAGCTAGTTTGGTGCTATTGAGGAGTGCCATGACAATACAATCTGCTGTATCATTTTGCCATTATCTGGCTTATCTGTGCTTGGCACTGCGCAGTATGAACATTCCTTTGCTGCTCCACTGCCACAGTAAACCAATGTGACAATTCCATGATTTCCTCAGCTATTTCCGACTATCTACAATACAGAGTTATTTATATTGCAGATATATTGAAAGTGGTGCAGTTTTTCAAGTACAAACAAGGCTTGCATTCAACATGGGTATTTGTATGCACTCTTCCTGTGAACAGCAAATTAACATATTTGGGTTAAAAAAGCCAGCATTGGTCAGTTACACTGCATTTTCCAATGCAGGTACATGAAACTACTGTTAGTAACACTGGGAATACTTTAGACAGACAGTCTAAAGTAAACAGCATGAAACTGGAAATTATCTATGTCTAATACAAAATTTCAGAAAGAAAACCCTATATTCTTGTATATTCCAGGCCTGATAAACAGAACATTGTTATTTTGCCCTCCAGAATAATTTTACACCGCAGTTGCAAGTGAACAGTTGGGAATTACTGAGATATCTAGATTCCTTTTTTGGGATATTTAATCTTATTGAAACCTTAGCTTTAAATAACTTGAGTATTTGCAGTTTTGAGGAAGCTATGATTCCTCTCCCAAATGGACTAGTTCACTAAACAATATTTTTAACAGTCAACATAGTCTTCAAGTGGCTTTTTGCCTGCAAAACTTATTCAACTGCAATCATGACAGAACTGAAGTACCATGTAAAGAAACCAATTCAACCAAAAATCCACCCATGGCTAGAACCAAGGCACTGCTCTTAATTAATGGAAAAAATCCAAATCCATGCCTTCTTAATTAAAACATACAGCCTCAGCAAAGCTTCTAAGTGTTCAGACTGTCAGCCACAAAGCTGCAGCTTTGAGTAGGCAAAGCCACTGTGGATTCTCAGGCTGAAGCCCAATGCTGGTACTGCAACTTAACAGAATCAATCCTGCTGTTTCCTTGTTCCATTATTGCAGCTGTCAGTGGGGGATATGGTGAATCTGCTGCAGAACTGAATCCAGGTGAAAGCTGATCATACTCACTGAACTGCAGCATTGGAATAAGGCAGAGGAGGAAGCAACTGCTGGCTCTCAGCCCATTTCTTTTCTGCTTCTCCAGCACAGCAACCATTTATTAGGAAGCTGTGATACCCACTACGTTTACCAAGCAGAAACCTTACTTTAGCCCTTGCTGAGGCCACAGTTTTAAGTCACTACTTCGTACAGTCCTGGAAACAAAAGAAATATGTATTTATAGCTCTCATCAGCCTCTATAATAGTTTATCGTGTATAGACACGTGTCCTGCCACAAGAGAAACACTAACTTGAATGCACTTTATCCGCTGCAAAGTATAAAACCACGTGATGTGTAAGCACATGAAAAAAACAAGGGCAAGGGGCCACAACCAGCTACTCGGCAGCATGAGCAGCTTGAGCACCGCACCTGCCCTCCTCACCCGCGTGCCCGCTCAGGGCAGCACGGACACACCACTCACCCATGCAGAGGAAGTGCCCGAGCTGCACCCGGGAGTTCTGGAAAGAGACGCACGTCAGGAGGAAGCAGCAGACGTGGAAAACAGCCAGGCCCACCAGCCACGGCTCCGACCAGTCCGTCTGCGGCGGGTGGAACGAAAGGCGCTCAGACAGCCGCCGGGGGGGCGCCCGGGCGGCGGGGGT